TCGTTCAGTTATAAAAGAGTAACTTACATAGGATAAACGGCAGAAATGTTAAAGAATCGGTATTTAATCGTTGCTCGAATCAAAATTAAAACAAAGTGAAAACAATACTTCTACATCGCTTTCAATATCACTGTTCCATTTACCACTAGTTATATCGAAAAAAAACTTTCACAATCATCCTTGTCGATAAGCGTGTGTGGATAACAGTAACGCACACGATCGAACACCTAACCTGTAATATGAACAGCAGACTTAACCTTGATGTAACTGACAAATAAATATATATATATATATATATATATATATATATATATATATATATATATATATATATATATATATATATGGAATCCAGGTGGATTCCGAAACTGTCTCATTTCCAATAAAACTAGTTTTTACATTGTGGGTTTTTCTACCATAGCATCAACCCGGTAGTGTTTTTTTCTTCACACATATATATATATACACAATATATATATATATATATATATATATATATATATATATATATATATATATGTACTGCCGCGATAGCTCAATGGTTAGAGCACTGGACTCCGACCCTCGTGGTCCCGGGTTCAATTCCCCGTCGCGGCGGTCATAAAAATACCTGCGCTCTGACTGTTGGCTCGAGCCCGAGAAAACGACATATCGGCTTGAGAAGTCAAACACAGGTGTTGTAGGGGAAGTCACCGCCGTGGCACAAGTGTTAACGCGCCGAACCGCGGTTGATTAGGAAGGGCATTCAATCAAGCAAGGGTGACACTGCCATATAACCTCTCAATTGTGAATTGAGATAGGCCTTTGTCCTGCAGTGGAATGAATGGCTGTTGAAAAAAAAAAAAAAAAAATATATATATATATAATGTATATATATAATATATATATATATATATATATATATATATATATATATATATATATATATATACACGTGTGCGTGTGCGTGAATATAAATGTATTCACACACAAACACACACACATACACAGAAAGAGAGAGAGAGAGGGGGGGGATGGAGTACATATCTAACTGTGTATGTAAGTATATAGAAGGATGTGATAAGCAGGTGTAAAATCATTACGAAAACAGAGACCCATGTATCAGTGATGTACCAACATTCTAGTTTCCTGTCATCTTTGCCTGTCTGACTGACAAAAAAGAGAATTCATTTCAGTGAAGGCTTGCGTCGGGCGGGCCTTACAATATGTGGCCCGCATCATGTTTGGACGGTAAGAGGTCGATTTGTCTGAGATGCTTGCGTTAAGTTGTGTGATCAAGCAGTCATTAAAATCATCAATTGCTATCACAGTCTTGATACACGTTAGAGGGAGCTTCCTGTCTGATTGACAAAGAGGGAGATTGTGGCCGCGTAAACAAGTGGCATAATCTCCCTCAGTCCCTTTCAGATAGATCGATTTTTTCACCGGCACGATGTTGTGCTTTCAAATAATCATTGGCATCAATTAAGACTTACGGCCTTCTCATCACGACGCTCCGTGCTGATGCTCATGTCGCGGGGAGTACATAAGGTTGTTAAGCCCATAACAATTGCCTCGATTTTTCGAAGTACTCTCTCATGTACTCAGACTCTCGTCAAGTACATTACATCGTCTGTCTCACTCCTGGTACACGTCGTGGGTTGGTTCTGTCTGCGCGAGGTGGAGGGAATATCGAGAAACGTCGGGATCAGTGATTAGTCAGGGTTTTAGTAATGCAGGAATGGCAAATTCACAGATGGCGAGGAAGGAGAGGAAAATTAGTTACCTTCCTTCTAGTAATCATAGTGGCCGGTTGTGGCTTGGTGGGGAATAAAAGGAAGGGCTCAGGAGGCGGGATGCCTTTAGAGCTTAACAGCAACGGGAAATAAAGAATACTGGAAATTCTATGTCCATTCAGGCAATAACCAATGCCTCATCGCTGCTGTAAGAGGCTGCTCTGGCCCTCGCACCTCGGAGGGAGGGATATGTATCATGCATACTCACTACTTGCCTTCGTAAATCTCACTGAAGCGAACTGAACGGCGAGCATCGAAAAGCCGATACCTTCTGAAGCAGGTTCATTGGTCATAGGATGGGTAAGAAAGTTCGATCATCGCAGGTCACACACACACACACACACACACACACACACACACACACACACACACACACACACACACACACACACACACACATGCTCCCTAACACATTCTTCTCGGGTCAACCTTGTGAACTGTCATCTCTATATATTGTATCTATCTATCAATCTGTCTGTCTATCTACGCACACACACACACACATGCACACGAATGCCACTCATCTGTAACCGACCCTCTTCCTGCTTAATTGCTTGCAAAGGCTATATAAGTATCTAGAGACCTTGCTCCCTAACACATTCTTCTCGGGTCAACCTTGTGAACTGTCAT